CATCAACTCACCCGACAAAAGTGCTTGGGTATATACGTTGTGGTCTATTCCAAAAAATCGAGGTGGAGGAACCCTGTGATCTCTCTTGCTCGACTGCAGGTTTAGAGCCAATTATTTCGATAGAGTCGGAGCTTGAATATTCTTCTATTTGACGGACGAGAGAGCCGGGAATAGAGCCAGAAACGGAATCGGACCCGGAATCTATGAGAAAGAGTCGAGAAACAAAGATCAATATAAAAGTGAAAGAAGACGATAGAGTACGTCGATATGTGAAGGACTTCTAGTTATAAAGTCGACCTCAGGGGAAACTGCTCGGGCCAGAAGGATTGTGGAAAAGGAGAAAGGCCCGAGCCCAACATGGACTCATCAGAAGACGGGAGTCGATAGTAAAGAAGGAATGGGGAATACCAGGTTTGAGAGAGGTCGATGTCGACTACGCCTCGGAAAGGGGACTTTCTCATAAACATAATCTTAAATCGAAAAAAGCGTGTTTTAAGATCTAGCACTGATATATCCAGGATCGTTCAAAGATCCCCAAGAACACTAAGAACATACATGGAACTCCAAAATCGAAAACCCAGAAAACAGGCACAAAAATCTTTCAGAAATTAAGGATAAGGGAAACTTACAGATATTGACGGATTAGGAAGTTCCGAGAGTGCTGGAGAAGTAGCCGGAAGGAGGTGCACGCCGGAATCGCGGGATGCTTTATTGCCGGAAGAAAAAAGAAAGCTCGAGAGTCCTTGAGTGCGAAAAGTGTGAAGGGGAAGAAGAAGAAAGTACTTATAGGAGAAACTGTGGAACCCTGGCCGTTGGATTAAAGTAAAATCAACGGTTCATATGTGGCACAGAATTCGAAGCGGCAAAAGGAAAGATGAGGCGGCGTGTTAGGCCCCAATTCAAAAATTTGAAATTCGAAATAATGATAAGTGGATATGCTCAGAAAAAGTGCTTAAGTAATAAAGTTGAACCCTAAGCGACCTAGGCGAATCGCGTGAGTCGCAGACGAGACGATTTGAGAGTAAAGACGAGACGATTCACCAACGAAGGAGGAAGGAAGGCCCAATTACTATACTTACTCTTAAGCTCTAAAGTCGCTTAGAGTAATTCTTTGGGGGGACTAGATGATATAGGCCTACTGTCGTAGCCCGATTCAGGCATTAGTTACTCGACTCGCGTTGCATATCATTAAAGCGATACCTCCAAAGTCGACGTGGCCTATCCATCATTTATGGATCACCACTGGCCTAAGGACGATCAAAAGACGACTTCAGGAAGTCGTCTTTGTTTAAAGTCGACTTACGCGTTAGAAGGCGAATGAACATTCTAAGAACCTCAAATATAATCGCAGGACCATAAGTCGACTCGACAAGGCTTCGAGCCGACTTAGAGTATCTCTAGCGACTCGCATTTACCTCAAATGACGAAGCAGAACTCCCAGAACTAGGGAATCTATACGAGATAAGAAGGAATCTGGGTGCTGATTCAGAGAGTGGGTAGAATGTGAAGTGACCAGGGCATTTTGGACACTTCGGGTAAGTCGGCTAGGGCATTTCAATGAGCATTTCTACCCTTATATAAAGGAGTAGAGGTGACTCCAAACCCTAACTATTATTCTCCTCATTCAATATTCAGCTGCTGCTCCCCCTGAGCAGAGCTCCTTCTCTCTTCATTCACTGACTTGAGCGTCGGAGGCTCTTCACCGGAAAACACTTCCGGTGTTGAGTTCTTGCAGGTGTTCACTGCGGTCCACGGGCGACTTGGAGACGATTCAAACAGAACGGAGCTCATTTCCACCGGTTCACTCCAGATCTAGGAGGAGACCCATCAGACTGTAAACATATTTTGCTTGTTCCGAGATCGTCCTCCTCTTTCAACATATAAATCATTAACATCGGGAATATCTATCGCACCACTTTCACAAAAAGACTTTACCTTGCCAAAAAGACTGTCATATCCATCATCTCTCAGTTTTTGGATTAGGCTCTTTGTAGTGCTAAAAAGATGCATAGCATTCAGAATATCTTGAGATTTCCGTTGAAGAGCTTGACAAAGCGTATCAGTTATTTCCATAATTTCTTTCATGAGATGCAAGATGAAGACGAACTCAAAATAGGTCAAAGAAATGTATGCCGAATCTGCATCGGCTCATTATTCATTATTTCCCTCATCAATGATGCACAATAAAACCGAGCAAGCTTCACTAAACATCTTCAACAAGCTAGAAATCGACCTAAAGTGCGAACCCCACCGTGTGCTCGTTGTAAACTGCCAATTTGATTTTGTCCAGACCCTTTTTCAAGCTCATCAATAGAAATCAAGTAAGCAATATCAGAAGCTTGGGCCGCTTTTAACTCATCGACACGTTTACAAGAAGAACCTGTTGTAGCAAATTTAATTTATATGTTATCTAGCACCAAATCAAATGATTTGTTTCCCGAGTCGATCTCAGTGAAAATTCAACCGGATTAAATTGTATCCTTATTCAATTAACAAAAATAAATAAAAATATTCCTAAACATTGTAATCATTTTATTTTTGTTTTTAACTATTAATTGCTATTATCAATTTAATTAAATGCTAGAAAATTATAAATAAAGTTATAATTAAGTTAAAAATGTTAAAATATTTAAAAAATATAAAAGAGTTAAGGAATCAGAAAATAATCAGTTCTAATGATAATTCTAAATCATTAATTATTCGGTTAAGTGATTCGATACACACTAATTTAGAAGTTCATATTCAATAACTTTTCGTTACAAGAATATAAACATGAATTAATGTATTTTCGTATCAAATAACACATAAGCAATACAGTTACGAACAAACTTACTCGTTTCGAGCCGAGATCAATCAACTTCGCCCCTCTCGGTTAAAAGATCAATTAAGTAGATTTAGGAGGTGTTTAAATCAACTAAACTATAAAAATAAGCACTACTCGAAACGATTGAACAATCAACAACACGTCATCATCATCGAATCGAAACAATCATTTCCCTATCCCATTATGATAGGTTAGTTCATAGTGATTTTATCGATATAATCAACAATAACAACCCAAGCTATCGTCCTACTTATAATAAGTTACGATTACTATTGAAAACTTGACGTCAATATATCACTAGAACTTCAACTAATAAAGAAAAATCACTTACAAGGTCATGCAAAGATCATGCATGAGAAGCCATTCTTGTAAGTGATGAAGAAGAAGAGAAGAGAGGAAAAAGAAACTATTTACAAGTCTTGAAATTATAACATTGTTCTTTTTTTACAAGCTTGATTACATTATTTTATAGCTATAAATTAGCTATAGGTATCATGAATCATCATAACATAACATCCCACCAAAATTCCATTATCTTCAACATAACAACTGCAGAAATCGACCCCTTAGCACCGCTAAGGGGTACTAGCGGCGCTAAGGTGTCGGCAGCTACACGTCTCCACTATTTTCGCTCGTTTGGGCTCGTTTTAAATCGGAATTTAGTCCTATTTTTTCCTACGCCTCTCTAACGAACCCCTCTATCAAATGGCATAAGCTTTCCCACAAATTTCCCGAAAACCTATTCTCTCGAGACTTCCAACCTACACACCAAAAATTAAAACACGAACGAAAAATACCGGACAATAAACATAATTCACCAAAATACTTAAATAATGCAAAACACACAAATAACGATAAAACGACTCTAAAACCAACTAAATGACTCAAAATGGGGGTAAAAGAATAAAAATAACTACTAAAAACGTAACAAAAATAGGACAAACAGAACCCACCACATTTATGATGAAATTTAACGTGGTAAAAAAATGGTAGACGGGGATAACTTCTTTAGATGTTCCGACCAACGCCAATTGCAACCGATGAGCTAAAAAATGCACACAATATGCATACGGGCATTCTTTAGCAATTAGTGCATGTAATCCGTTGAATTCACCACGCATATTACTCGCTCCGTCATATCCTTGACCCCGAATATTTTGAATGTCAAGATTGTGACGAGAAAGGGTGGAAAATATTGCATCTTTAAGAGTTATCGCCTTCGTATCACACACATGTACAAGATCAAAGAATCGATGTCGAACAAAACCACAAATATCAACAAATCTCAATGCGATACCCATTTGCTCCATTTTCGAATTGATCTCTGGATTCATCAATATTAATGCAAAACTTTGCGTCCCCAATTTCTTCACGAATCACTTTCTTGATCATCATTGAGATAACAAGTAAAATATCGTTTTGGACATATGGGGATGTATAAGAGGCATTTTGAGGTGCTTTGTCTAATACAACATTTGCAATATTTTCATTAAGCTTAGACATTGCACTAAAAAATTCAAGAAAATTTCCATGATTAAGAGACTCTTTACTTTCATCATGACCTCTAAAAGCCAAACCTTGACTTGCAAGATACCGGGCAAAAACAATTGAAGCTTCAAGTCGTAATCTATTTTTTGCAACTTGTTCAGAAGATTGTTTTTCAATAAGTGCTCGAACATGGTGTGCTTGATTCATTAGGTCTTCACATGATTTCTCAGTAATTTTGTGCAGTGAATTATGATCTTTTCCAACGTGATTTAGAAATACACAATCTTTTCCATTCCAGACTTTTTTCCAGTTTTTGAACCCGTCAACAATAAAAGTATTCTGACTGTGATACTTACCTGGTTTGTTGAACAAATAACAAGGTAAACAAAATGCAGCATCACTCGGAGGGGAATATTCTAACCAAGACGGAAATATTTTGAACCACGACGCTTGAAAACGATGAGAATGCTTCTCAGACCCGCTCGAAGGATATTCTCCTTTGTATTGATAAGGACCGTAACTAATATAAGCTCGTCGAACTTCATCAATTTTATCAACGGGATAACTTGATATTGGCATACGTAACCCTAGATCACGTTCAAGTTTGTTGATATCAAACACCACCAGTTCAATTATATGTGACTTTTTAATGTGACTAACAACTTTCTCAACTGTTGTTGATGGTCCTCCATTATCTTCCTCAATCTGATCACGTTTTCTCATGAAAAACGAGTCTATTCTTGATGACTTTGACATATCCTAAAAATAAAAATAAACAAATTTGCACAAAAGAAATCAATAATCCAAACAAAAAGTAAAGAACCAGTGAAAAAAGTCAAAAACAATAACTTGTTTCACTTCAACAGGGCTGTAAAAAGGTTGGAAATTTAGTTAGTCAATGACAAGCTAAAATTCAAAAGGAGCCCACAAACATGGATAAAACTACAACATCTCTTGACAAATAAAAAATTCATACAAATCCAACTGAAGATAGAAAAAATCAACAGCCAATTCCCATCAAGACCTCTAGCTATACACAGAAAAATTGTGGAAAAAGCAACGGAAGCAAACAAAGGATTGAAGAATCACGTCTGAAATCAAGAATCTAAACACCCCCATATTTTCAACAAAGAACGGCACAATTAGCAATAATATTAATATATAAAAAATAGTATAACCCTATATATGATCTAAGCTAGAGAGCATGAATTAAGACATTTAAGAATGATGAATAAATAAACATAATGAATGCTAGTTTTAAACCCTAAATCCCTAAAAAGGATAATTAAATCTAAGTATGAATATGAACATAAATTAAAGTACTCACAAATATGAAAGAATGATCAAATACTCAGAAGATCAAGGAATTGTTGAGTATATTTGCTGCTGCGGATTTTTTTTTTTTAATTTTTGTGCTTGCCTGCGAGAACGTCGAGAAGGGAGCTGCGAAAGAAGAAAACTCTCTGTCTCGCTGTGGACCTGCGGTCATGTGCTGTTGCTAGATTTATTTTTTAAGTTAACTTAAGTAGTCTTGATTAGATTGATTAAATACTAATAAGATAAAATATAATATTATAATACATAAAAAGTTGAAAGTTGGGTTGGTTTGTTTTAAATATATTTATAATGGGCCTTGATCCTAGGCTCCTAGCCCACCTAATCAAATACAATATATATTTAGTTAATGGGTAGGGGGGGGGCAAAATAAATTAAATATACATAATCTATTATATTATACATATATATATATATATATATATATACA